ATTTTCCTTGTGATTCCCTGCCGTAAGGTCCTTGGGAAATGTTAACTCCGACTCCTTGTTTTAAGGACTCTTGGAAAATGTTCACTGTGACTACCTGTTTCAAGTGCATACAAGTACCATATTTTACAGTATGTTAAATTCTATTGTTGTGGTTGTCGGTGTAAATTCCCAACTTAAGGCATATTAAGAAAATACTTTGACTAGCAAAAACTTACAGCATAAAGTTAAGATCTTTTAATTTCTGTGATGAGAGTTATTCTGCTTGCAACATGTTTATATTATATTATTCAAAAGTTACATTTAATTTAGCTAGTTTGCAAAGTAATAGTATTTTTTTCAATATGGGGATTTCTTTCCTTTGAATCAGTTAATAAGTTGTCTCAAACAAAAGTCAGAACTAATTGTCACAAAATAAACTTCTTTTAATTAGAAATACCAAAATCTGTTCTATAATTATATATTATTGGTAAAAATTACTTTTTTCGCTTTGTTGTTATCAAATTTTATTTTAAACTTCTTGAAAACAAACTGCTCAATTGCTTTGATACTTTGTATGTAGGTACCTTGGCTGGGCCTGTGTTAAATTTATTCATTTTGTGATATCTTCTATTCTCTATTTTAGACAAATAGTTTTGTAATTTTTGGTAAAAAAATACTATTTTTGACTTCTCCTTGAAAATTACCAGCTCAGTTGATATGATACTTGGTATACCGTTTCCTTGGATAGACCTCTGTCAGATTTGTAGGTGCTGTGGTGATAATTTTTAATTTTTGGTTAATATTTTTTGTAATCTTTGGTAAAAAATGCTGCTATTTTCGACTTCTCCTTGAAAATTACCAGCTCAATTGATATAATACTTGGTATGCAGGTACTTTGGGTAGACTTCTGTCAGATTTGTTTATTTTGTCACAAGATCTTCAATTTAACTTGAAGGCATTGGACATATCATCTCACTAGTTTCACCGAGTGTAAAAGTTTCATTGAAATTTAGTGGTTCTTGAGATATCAGTTGAGAAGACATGCATGCACACATACAGACTGGACTTGGAAGGTTATCATTAAATGATCATTGCGAGTTTGCAAGTTAATGCAATCTAGCATGTACTCCTATAATTGAGAAAATACAGCAGTGAGTTTACCCTGAAGAACAAACAAAACAATCAAGTACATGAAAATGCAATTAGTTTATTTTAGATATGTAAATACATGTTTAGCTCATTTCAAACATGAATTTATAATAGGATACAACTTGAATTTTATAAAAATGTTTCTGTAAAATACAACTGTTACATGAAAAGTAATAAATGGGCCAATGTCTTCATTAAACTGATGAACTATGTGACTAAATTGTCAGGCCCAGGTAACCATTGGACGCTGGAAGACCCCCCTCCCCTCTCCCCACCACCACCACCACAATTGTTGGTAATTACCGGTATAAATGGCACTTTTGGAGTTTGTCTAGTGGTATACAAAATTAACCATTCTTTTATCCAATTTAAGGGTCATGTTAGCAACAATATTTCATTATTAAAACACATTGACTGGCAGTATTACTAGAAGCTACCTAACATTCTGTCAATTCAGTTTTCAAGAAAAGACAGAAAACACAAATAATTGGTTTAACAAATATATAGTTTTAAACTTGTTTTGAAGTATTCACAAATTTTTTTCAAGGAGAATTTTAAACCTCAGAACTTGCATATATGTGACTACTGCAACTGCTACACATTGTACCTTCAGTTTCTTTGCGATATCGCAGCCCTGTATTCATAAAATAAACGTAGTTACAGTATTCAAATGAAATTATTAATGAGATGGG